CCTGCGCAGAGGATGGTGAGGCCACTGGCTTAAACATCATTGCGTTGTGCTTACTGTACTTAATATGACATCTAACTTCTGACGCACACACACACACACATATATATATCAACTTCAGAGAGGGAGGGGGAGAGAGAGAGAGAGAAACATCAGTGATGAGAGAGAGTCATGGATGGGCTGCCTCCTGCACACCCCCCACTGGGGATCGAGCCTGTAACCGGGGCCTGTGCCCTGACCGGGAATCCAGCCGTGACCTGGTTCATAGGTCGGGGCTCAACCGCGGAGCCGCGCTGGCCGGGCCCTGCGCCCTTTTGTGCTCCTCACAGGCTGGTGCCCACTAGACTCTGTGTCCCTGGATGAGGGGCTCCCGTCCCTCCTGCCCACGCTGCGCGTCTGCATTTCACACAGAGAAGCCAGGCGCCTCCTGCAGGCCGCTGGGTGTCATGACAGTTTCGGGGGGTGCCCCTGACAGGTGCCTCCCCGTGTCTGAGAGGGACAAGCCAGGAGGAGAAACCTGGGTCACCTGTGCAGCACACACACTAGACCAGGTGACGTGGGTTCCACCAGCTGTGGTGGGTGTGGGACCAGCCAGTCCCGGAGGCACAGCCGTGTAGGGTCTGGGTGGGCCCAGGGCTCCTGTGTCAGCTGTTGCTTCGAGGCTCGGAAACAGGAAGGGAGCATGTTAATTAGACAGTCGGTCTTGCCACACGTCCCAGTGACCCACAGGGACAATGTCTTAAGCATCACAACTCTGTGTCCCTCACTCCTCCCAGAGTCAGACCCCTCGAGCCGGTGTGGCAATCCTGTGACTCACCAGGGGCCCAGCCTCCTTCTGTCTTGTTGCTCAGCTGTTCCTAGAACATTATCTCGTCTGTGTGGTCAGGCTGGCCCACCAGCAGGTCCACATTCCAGTGGAAAGATGGGGAAGTGGCCCACATCTGTCTTGCTTCCATTGGAATGAGTCAGGCCCAGCTACAAGGGAGGCTGGTGTGGCGGCCTCACTCCCGGGGGTTGCGGGGTGGGGGTGGGGGTGCCCCGGAGCACACAGCCGTCCCACGGAGGGCCTCGGGCTGCGTGTCCGGCGCTGCTGCAGCCATGGCGCCGATGCCACCTTCCCTGCCATCTGACGCGTGGGTCCGGGCTCCCGCGACTCCCCTTCCTGGACTGTCTCGGGAAGAGTCAGACTCCTTCTCACGTCCGGTCTCACGCTCAGCGTCCGCCTCGGGGTCGACGTTGCCACAAAAAGCAGAATCCTGGCAGCCATAGTCATTTCTGTGGAAAACTGCATGAAATGTCGACGTGAAACTTTGAATTCTGTCTGCTGTGCTAAATGAAACGCCCTGTCGTCAGACATGCAAAGCACACACTGAGCGCCCAGCACACATGCACGAAGGGTGTTAAGCTCGGGCAACGTTCTGTCCACTCGCAACTCGCACAGTCGGGGTCTGTTTTCGTGGTGAATCGGGGAAGGCT